GCTGGACCGTGGATCTTGGCCGGCCGGCCGGCCAGCTGGACCGTGGTGCTGGACCGTGGTTCTTGGCCGGCCGGCCGGCCGGCTGGCTGATCGAGAAATAGCGGGCCGCGATAAGCTCGCAATGAATTTACCCTTCTTCTGTGATTGAGGCAGCGGCAAATGGACTGGGCTCGGGAGAAGCAGCGGCATCAGCTCTCTAAAGTGAGCTGTCACGGTAACCAAAGATTGATTTAGGACATCTGCACTCGCGATTATAAGCGTGCTTAGTTTGTCTATAGCTGATGTTGCTCAAAAATTCTCAAAATCTGTCATCGAGCAGATTGATTGAAGAAGAGCCCGCTCTGGAGCCCTTCAACGCTTCAACTTTAGATCAGCCATGGGATGTGCAATGATCGACACGAAGTGATATCCGAAAGTACATAGAAAAGAGCTAGTGTCAACTGCGCTCCGTTCCATGGAGCTCGTCTGCCGGAGCTGGGTTGGTAGGCGCACGAGGAGGGGGCAGCTGTCGGGATATAGAGTAAATGCCGCTAAACAGAATCCAGCGAAAATCGGAATTGCGCGCGTAAAATGAACAACAACATCACCTGCGCGGGCGTGGTGCAACGACCCTCAAATTTTGGGCGCTGCAATGCTCAAAATTGGCCGGCGCTAAATTGGGTTTTCTTTGGTCGGTTTTGCGCTCCGAAGGGCCGGGGATGTTGTGACTGATGAAACCTGAGCCTTCATGATTTGGCTCCTAGATTTGGAGCGGCGCAAAGGAAGCAGAAATGGCGAACAAAGTCTGGCAGCAAAACGAAAACTAGACGACGGATGGCCCGAGATGATTGGCGGCGTCCACGCATCTCATCTAACTACACCCATATAGCAGCAACAACTCTGGAACTTGTAGCGCGCACGCAAACGCAGCTATAAAACTCTCAGATGTATAGTTGCGCAGATCTCTTTCCTGCCACGCTCTCCCGAGCGACGCGCCGAATTTACACCAACGTGCTTTCCCTTCCCCAGTGGCACAGCCTCGTGCAAATGCACTTTCCACCGTAGCCGCGCAAAACCACCGCGTGGCACAGCGACATCGCAGACGGAATTTGGCCTGCAACAGACTACACGCAACAGTTTAACATTAAGCATCGTGAGCGCCACCAATCGTCCCACCCCCCAGCGACACTCCAAATTTACACCTGCTTCCCGCACTACTGCACTACATGTGTACTACCAAGTGGCCAGTTCTGAGGCCCCAGAAACTGCTTCCCGCATTACATTTGTACTACCAAGCGGCGAAGCGGCCAGCTCTGAGGCCGCAACCCCCAGAAGCTTCCCAAGTGGCCAGTTCTGAGGCCACACCCAGAAGCTTCTTCCCACACATATTTGTACTATACCAAGTTCTCACTTCGACGACAGTTGCACATTGACACTTGACATACACGCTGTGGCAACCTCCATCCCGGTTTCGGCAGCACTTATAAACACTTTGGCAACCTCGGCCTCCGCTTTCGACGACAGCTACGCTACACGCTTTGGCAACTGCCTGTTTTGACGACAGTTACACACTTCAGCAACTAAATTCGCATTTCGCCGCACGTTTGAGCCCTCGACACACGCGATCGGCTCACCGCGCTCGCGCAAAATTTGCACTTCGCCTCGTGTTTGACGTTTTTGAGGCGTCGACACGGGCGATCTCCGCAAAGGGTTGCCCCGGGCCAAACCAAGTTATTTCACAGCACATTTGAGCACTTGACACGCACGATCTCCGCAATTCACAAGCCCTGTCCGGCCAGGCCCCCGGCTAAGAAAGAAGAGTTCAATAGCCGAGAAATATCACGCACACGCAAACAAACATATGTCTCAGACTCTATATGTTAACATATGTTTACTTTTGCATGTGTGTTTAGTGAAGCAAGACCCCAGCGAAAGTTTTATTTGACTTTGCAATTACTTAAGCAAGATACCAGCGAAGGTTACCCAAGCAAGATCCCCGCACCAAAGCAAGATCCCATCACCAAATGCTAGCGTAGCAGCAGCCCTGCACAACCATACCTGCAAGCTGCAAAATGTAATTACTTGTAGCATACATACAACTGCAGCTGTATAAGTTGCAAATGCATTGCCACCTCCATAGCAGCAGGTCTAGAAGACCGCGCACGCAAGCTGTAGATATACTTAAAGCATACATACAAACGCAGCTATGTAAGTCCCAAATGTCTGGTAGAAAACCACACATGCAAGCTGCAAATGTAGCGCATAGCATACATACCAATGCAGCTATATAAGATTGGAAAGAAACAGCCAGAAAAAGCTCCCAAATGTATTGATGCAGATGTGCCACGCAAAAGATTTCTACAAAAGAACCCTTTACAAAGCTTCCGGTGTCCAAAGAGCGTGGCCTCCAACCTAAGAGCGATGGCCTCCAACCTAATAGCAATGGCCTCCAACCTAAGAGCGATCGCCTCCAACGTAGAAGCGATGGCCTCCAACCTACTAACACTGAGACCAAGAGAGTTGGTAAACATGACCAACAAATCGGAGAAACTGACCCAAGACATTTTGGAAAAGCATGGTTTGATGCTCGTCTAACAGCGTGTAAATCTTTTAGCTAAAAAGAACGACTGTGACTTGACAAAGTGTGCTCAACTTCTCTGCTAAGACGCTCATGACGCATCATAGGCTCTCCATGGGCTCTGGACTTGGAGCTAGATTTCTATCGAAAGAATTGTTTTTACCATGCTCTGTGCTCTGGCCTCGTTGGTAGTTGCAAGGGAAAGCGAGCAGAGAAGTCCAACATCTGTAGTACGAGCTTTACATGATATTCTATACAGGATGCTTGTAATTTGCTCATATCGTTTTCACAAGCCTCTATGAAAGCACCGGTGGGTTGAGCCAATGGAAGAACACCCAGCTAAAACAGTGTCCCAAATGATGGAGTTGTTTCACATCGATCTGAAAAGAAAGGAAGGTTTCACCTGGACATATTTCCAACACGTTTAGCAAGCCAGCCGCTCATATTGCTGTTCTGCAACCGACGACCGCCCATGCCACTGCTCGTTGGATGCTTGCAGTAAGACTTCAAACCAGTGTTTCGATCTCACTAACCGATTGAGTGTTGCAAGTTGGTGAGCTTTGTCGCTGCCTCGCATGGCAGAAGTATTGCCTAAGCTGGCTCCCGGAAACTGGAACAAACATCAAAGTGATACAACTGCAAGCTACTAGTAACAAGGGCATCAAGGTATAATACAACTGCAAACAAGTCACAATGTACTTTGTCATTGAACCAGCTCCACACAGCGGGTTCAAACATCGTGTTTACGGGAACTGCAAACATGTCTCATGTCTCAGACTGTCTGTGCAGCTGTTATTTTTCAAGATGAAACTCCTCCAACATGCTGAAACCCTGTACTCTTGGCCATGTCTCAGACTCTGACAGCCAGCGCGAACCATGGGAGGATCGCCATGCTCCTCCTCTCAACTCAAAGCGCACAGGAAGTTCAGAACGCTTCTAGCTACTAGTAGCGTCCTCGCTCCTAGTAGTACGGCCAGGAGCGCCTACCTAGTAGCTTCTTGTTCCTAGTAGCGATGCCAAGAGCCCCGATCGTAGCGATGCACTTGTTCCTAGTAGCTTCTTGTTATTATTAGTAAGGCACCTGTTACTACTAGCGTGGCACTTGTTTCTACGTTCGCTTCTTGCTCATCGACACCCCAAGAACCGAAACAAGAATCCACCGGTTCAGCTAATTTGCGATCCAACACAGACCTAAAGCGCAGGAAACTCTGCAGCATCCAGTCAGTCTCTTCCTGGCCTTGCTACCTCTTACTAGCTACCTAAGTCCCTATACTAGTAACAAGGGGCATCGCTATTAGTAGCAAGAAGCTATATATGAGTAACAAAGGGTAGCTACCGAAGTCCCTATACCTTTTACTGATCACTAAAACTAGTGGAAACACAGCTGCCACGACCCACTTCTGCTCCTGGGAAAAAAAGGTAGAATCCAGCCGCTGCACCAACGGCTGTGGATCGAACCAAACAGCCAAGTTGAACACCAGTAATAGCGTCCTTGTTACTACTAGTAAGGCACCTGTTCCTGGTAGCCTGGCACTTGTTTCTAATAGAAAACATTGTTACTACTAGTAAGGCACTTGTTACTAGAAGCGATGCCCTTTGCTCCGTTCGTAGCGTCCTTGCTCCTAGTAAGGCCAGGAGCCCCGTTCGTAGCGTCAAGTTAAACACCAGTATGATTTGCATCACTTAAGAATGACATACAGAACCGGAGGCCCTGGCCCTGGCCGTGTACTTTTCATCATTGTGTCAATACTTGGGGCTAGTGCAAGTAGACTGCCAAAGGTTGCAAACAAGAGCTTTCACAAACACTGTACAAGAACAATTGCATCTTCCTTTGGAAGCCGTACAGTAAAGATACACCACAAAATGACGAAACAATAGAACACAACAAGCGAGTACAATCGTGTATTTCATTATTCAAAGTTTGGCAAAGTCAACCGTAAAGGCATTCGATTTAAGGCGCCGGTACTCTTGAGGAGGAAGAAGTTTGGTAACAGCTTCCATCCAGAATCTGATTGACATGACTTCTCTTGTTCAATGGAACTACGGCGGAGCAATTTCCACCCCGATCCGAACTGTAGTTACAATACTATAGATCCACTTCGGGGTGGAAATGACTCTGCCGGAATTCCACTGTGATCCCCTTTAGGATTCCAAAAGGACAAGGTTGTAGGTCATGTATAGTTGGAAAGCTTTCAGGAGTTATTTTGTTTGTTCTACCGACATTACTTATGTGTTCTTTTGCTTCTGTTATGCACCCGCCTGCCAGCCCATGTCAGGACTTAATCATAGGTGTCTTGCATGGTTTTGTTGATTTAGGTGCTGACTTTTTGACTCTTTTCGTACTATCTATTTTGCGAAACCTAGCATCGTTAAATTCAGCGTGGAAGTAGATAGGCCAAATAACTGCCCCCCCTTTCCACGAGAAACTGGAACCTGAAGACTTGTCCAAACATGGTTTTGCAAGTATTCTACCAAGGTTGACCAAAAAGCATTTATGTTTATGACTAATACGAATGCCTTTCTTTGGGTGTATATCGTTGTCCTGTTGCTTCTTGTGCTTCACTGCTTGTTGAAGCACGTTTGCAGATTGTGTTCATGGGACCCAGGAACCTTGACCTACTGACTTCCAAAGTCATGTACAATTTAGTGATATTTAGCAATCTTGAGTGGATATTTACCCTTTATATCATTAGTTTATGTTCTCTTTTGATTAGTTTGCTCAAGCACTATGTGGTTCCTCCTCGTCTCAGGTTCATTCAGCTGATTCTGTTGTCTACCACACCAAACCATATCCTCGAAATCCATGGCAAGACTTATTCTGACCCAACAATGTTCAAATAATCCTTCCCAGTTTTGATTTATTGGTCTACCCTTTTTAATTAGGTAGTTTGTTCCACTGCTAGTTGGCTTCTGTCACTCTTATTCAACCCCTTCCGTTGTTAACTAGGCGTGCCTCCATTTCTTCACATCTTTCGTTGTCGTGTTGTTCAATAGTTGTCAAGGTGTTTTCTCTTGGTCAATTAGATTTATCCTTCTTACTTAGTTTTTCTACTTTCTACGATTAGGTTTTGAGAAACAAACTTACAAGGGAAAGTATTACTCAAGAATAGGAACACCAAATATAAAGGGTGGATTGACCGCTATCGTTGCAATATATGCAAGGTATTGCTGTTTAATCCGCCACCCTCTTGCTTCCGCAGTGATTCTTGGATGAAGCCTTTTGAGAACATAGTTGCCTTAGACGAGAAATTCAAAAGCTGTGATCCTGACAGAGTAGCAGCCTTAAATGAAGATCAAGGAGCATGATTGAAAGAAGGAGAACCGCATTGTGTGATAGAGGAGCCTTCTGGATAAGGTAGGATGCTTGTAAGCTGGCATAGGTTCTAAAGGATGACTTTTTTAAACGAATGTACCTGATGTATATAAAAGGCATTTAAAGCATTACATCTGTCATATATCTTAAATAGGAGTATACAGTATTCAGCTGTGATGTGGAGCCTGCCATCACAGAGCTTGGAAAGCATCTTCAGTTCGGCCAAGAGGGCTTGGCCAGTTGGATGCTATCTTACTGTAGCTGCTCCCAACCGTGTTTGCTCGTGGTTTGTTTGTGCCAACCACATCCCAAAGGCACATTCAACTGAAGATTGTTATCTAGACCCCAAATCCTCCCCGGCAACTGGTGCAACATTGTTCGCGATGGGGCGAACAATGTGGTCAATACTTGCCCCATTATTTGAACGGCAGAATAGACGTCAGAAACGGGAGACCAGCGTTATTTTTGTGCCACCCGAGACCCAGAACATATTTCGCATCTCTGAAAAAACTCCAAATTGTTTCTACTAGCTTCTTGTTACTACTAGTAAGGCACTTGTTACTAGAAGCGATGCACTTGTTACTAGTAGCTTCTTGTTCCTAGTATATAACAGTCTTTGCAAATCCACCTCCCTCGGACGAGGCTGCTTGGTTTTGCCACAGCACTATCCCTCTTAGAGAGGTGCTGGAGCGGGTGCCGGTGCGAGGACTAGAGGCACTGCCACCGGCGCAGCCACTGGCGCAGCTGCCGGTGCAGCTGCCGGCGCCAGGCCGCCTGCCAGGCCGCTGTGCAGGCCTGCTAGTGGCGCTACCAGCGGTGCTGCCACTGGTGCCAACACTGGTGCGGCTGCCGGTGGCGCCGCCAGCGCAGCTGCAGGCGGCGCAGCAGACATGTGGGCATCACCAGCGGCATCCATTCCCTGGGAGGTCAGGAACTTCTCCAGCCTCTTGACAGTTGACCTAGGAAAACGATTTTCGGATGTGTCCAGATGTTGCGGACTAGATGGCTCAACCGGCTTGGCAACTTGCCATGTAAAACACTTTCTCATAACTTCTCATCGGTTTTGATGAAAACTCTCCTTTGGTCGCCAAGAAGCTTCAAGTCGCCAATCTCCGCTTTGAGACGCTCTGTCTCTGCATCTGTTGCATAGTGACTTGGTCTCTCTGTGCCTCAGCCGAGGCTTTCCCGTCTTTCCCAGGTCAACCTGGGTCAAAAGTCTGCGTTTGCGCCAATCTTCGCCAGACTTGTCCCAACCCTCGCAACGTAGCTGACGTGTAGTTGGCGTAAAGTAATCTACCAAAGCGATACATTCACTGGCGCCTCAATTCTATTGGGTATGTTGATGTATGCAGTATACACTTTGATGTATGCAGCATGCAGTTCAGAATCTCAAGAAATCTGCGGATGGTGCCAGCTAGCTACAGGCAGCATGCATCACGATCATCACGAATTGCGGTCATGGGTCATGGCCAAAACCTGCTTTTTGCATGCTTAAGCCAATGAAGCCCCACGACTTACTATACTGATTACTATACGGTACGGTAAGCGAATGTGTGGGAACGCTGCAAAAGAACGTCACAGCCGAGCTGCGCAGGGGAACCGGGTCGACTGGGCTTGCAAGTGGAGATGCTGCCACCGCAGGTGCAGGCGCAGCTGCGGAAATGGACAAAGGTTTGGCAGGCTCCAAACGTGGTGCGATCGAGAATGGCGCGGACATCGGAGAAACCGGTAGAGCAAAGGCTGGCGCCTGGGAAAGCGGTGAACATCGCTCTTAGGGTGGAAGACATCGCTACTAGAGTGGAGGACATCGCTAGTTATTTGCATAAATC